GCTCACCGGGCTCTCGGGCACACACCTGCCCGCCCACCCAACAAGGTGGTCCCCACACCTGGCAGCATCAGGTGTGACATCGGCGGCCGGGGGTGGGCAGCAGGGGAGCCTGGAGGGCCAAGCCTGGGGTAGGGCCGGTGTGACCCGCAGGAACCCCCACCCGGGCTCCGGCTGCCCCTCCTCCCAGAGCTCCGGGCCTTGGGTGGGCACTGAGGACACGGGGCAGAAAGGGCAGGCCCCCGCCGGCCTGTGGGAAAGGTCCCGTGGAGACACGCCCTCCTGCCCTCCCTCCCGCGGCTCCTTCCCCGGAACCGCTAGATGGATGTGTTTCAACAGATTCGGAGCCGATAAAATCTTATTTATCTTCGGCTGTTGACACGGAGCCGCCCAGACTTGCCTGCTGTGGGGCGCGCATCCCCCACGCTGGCAGGAAATGCTGTGCCCACACGCTGGGGTATGCCCACCCTGCCCTCTCCGCGCCCCCCTTTCCCTCCTCCGACCCCACCCCTCTCCCCGACCCCCAGTCCTCCAGGGGCCGGCCCGGCTGGGAGCTGAGGTCCGTCCGGCAGGGCTGAAGGGGCCTGGGCAGAAGGCGGCGGTGGTGGGTGGCGGGTGAGGCACGGAGCTGTTAATTCCTGGCGCCCACTCCTCAGCAGCGGGGTGCCCAGCGCCCGCCGTGGGCAGGCTCGGGCAGGAGGCGAGTGGGGAGGTGATAATAACTTGTCTGTCATTTCCCAGGGACATGCAGCATCTTGCAAACCACAAATACCGTTAACCAGCTCGGGCGAATCTGTTACAACAGATTCTGGAAGGCCGGGCTGCAGGGGGCGGGGGGGGGCTGTTTTTAAATGTTTTTTAGGGCCCACTTTTATCTGCTGTCTGTGCGCGTGTGCGCCCGTGTTCAGAGCCACGCTTCTCTCCTCTCTGGAGCTGAGGCCCCTTTGAGGACCCCCCTCCCCAAGGCCCAGACCCTCTCACCCTGGGACGCCCCATGGCTGCAGCACGCGGCCCACAGAGAGCCCAGGCCACCAGCCCCCAAACCCACACCCCGGGTCAGGGACCCGTCTCTCCTTCCTGGTGAGGGGGGCCTCCAAGGTGACATAAGCCAAGGACACTCGCTCCAGCCCCTCATGGGGCCTGTCACCCTGCACTGCCCACCTCCCTGCCCTCACTGCCCAGCTCACTCCCAGCCTCACTCCCAGCCTCACTGCCCGGCTCACTCCCAGCCTCACTGCCCAGCTCTCTGTCTCACTCAGCGGGAACTGCAAGGTGAGCTGACAGGTGCCAGGAGGCTGGGACAAGGTCGCAGGGAAGCCACCAGCCTTGAGAGGAGGCGGGGCCACCTGCGACAACCACCCAGCCTGCTTCAGAGCGCGCACAAGACAGTCCACAGGCAGCGCCCAAAGTGACCGGGGCCGGTGGCTGGGGCCTGCAGGGACCCCCGTCACCTGTAGAGCCAGGGCCTGGCCCCGGACATGCCGGCTCACAGAGGCTGCTGTGATCCCCAGGACAGGGCTGGGAGGGGACATGCTGACACCCCCCCATGCAGGCTGACGGCCGGGGTCCCCTCACCAGAGCCCAGAGGAGGGTCAACGGGACACAGAAACACGCAGGTGCTGAGTGACCAGGGCCCTGTCCAGGGGAGTCCACGGAGGCAGGGGCAGGAGCTGCCCATTGGGGAGAGGGAGCCTGGGGCTGGGGGCCTTTCAGGAGCCTGGATTTTCCCCCCCCCCCCCCGCAGCCCCCCAGCCTCAGGGACCCTCAGGCCTGCTCATCCCGCTGGGCTCAGCCAGCAGCGACGCCTGGGACGCTCAGTGCTGGGCTAAGGTCTGGGGGGCGGGCAGCAGGTGGACGCTGAGCTGACCCAGGAGAGAGGCCACGTCAGAAGCCGGGGCAGCAGGAGGTGGCCTGGCCCAGAGCGGGGGAGGGGCTGTGGTGGCTGCGGGTCTGGGCCTCCCTCTGTCCTTAGCCCAGTGGTCGGCAAACTGCGGCTGGCGAGCCACATGCAGCTCTTTGGCCCCTTGAGTGTGGCTCTTCCATAAAATACCGACTTCTGCGCATGGGCCACAAAGTTTTAATCGCACTGTACGTGCGCGCCTGCATGTGGTATTTTGTGGAAGAGCCACACTCAAGGGGCCAAACAGCCGCATGTGGCTCGCGAGCCGCAGTTTGCCGACCACGGCATTAGCCTGTAGGCCAGGCACCTCCTCTGGCTTCCTCTGGGCCCTGAGGGGGACCGAGGGTGAGCAGGGTGTGTTCCGGGGCCTCGGGGACAGGGCTGGGCTTGCAGGAAGCCCAGGGCTCCCACTGCACGGGCACACATGGTGGCCGCGTCCCGCAGGCCCAGCCAGGTCCAGAGGGGTCACCCTGCCCACAGACTGCCTTCTGACTGCCAG